TTTCAACGCCTGTGACATTCATTTTTATGCTTTACTGAACTTGAGCTTAAAGTTTTTTTTCTCCGCATAAAAATCGGAGGGTAAGTTATTCTGATTGTTGATAGTCTTAGCTTTCATTCACGATGTTAGAATTACATCGCTCTTTGCGTCATTAGATAATGGCGATCAGTTAATTAAAAAAGGTCGTGGTGGTCCGAAACCGACCGCGAAGTGATGGTCCAAAACCGACCCCCATTTATTGGCAGCGTAATTTGTCACAGCGTGGTTTTTGAGTGAAAATATATAATTTAAAGTGATAAAAAATTATTTGTCACGGATTTTGCAAGTTTTGTTTAGAAATGGGGCGGACATTTAAGCGTAAAACCTCAAAAAAGGGATCCGGAGATTCTACGTCGAGCAGTTGCAGCAATGAAATTGGGACTGTCGCTTCGCGCAGCTGCGCGTGAATTTGCAATTCCTCGATCAACATTATCGCTGCATCGCAGAAATAATAAAAATAATACACCAGAAGAAATTGAAACAGCTGAACGTCTGGAAGAAGTGAATGTTGACAATATAAAAATTGTGACGAAGGGTTTCAAAGTAAAGAAAAGTCAGCAGAAGCAGCAAAAACATCAGAAGAAAGCGAAAAGACAAATGGAACCACAGTCTTCAACAAGCGGCTTTTGAAAAACAACGCGACTGAAGACCATTCGAACTTACTATGAGAAAGAGGACAGCTCTGACTTCAGCAATTGACTACAGTGCCCTTTATTCCATACATTAATTTTTATTTTCTGGAAAGAACCTTCAAAATAATTCTTAATAAACGTCAAAATCATTAAATTCTATTTTATGTTATTGAATTTTTCTGCTAAGAAATAGGGGGTCGGTTTCGGACCACTATTTTTGAGTACGTCCAAAAAGTGGAGTTTTATATTTGCCTGAATATCTAGCACTTCAAAACACCTACGCACTTACAAATCGATAAGAAGTATAGTAAACTGATCCCTCTACATAGTAAATTTTTGAACTGAACAGAAAAATTTATTTTTCTCACCTTTATCGCCTTTAGGGGGTCGGTATGAGGCCACCCTCCCCTACTGCGTGCAATAACTACACCACTTTTGAGAAAGTTTCAGCAAGATAGCTTTAAAACTGAGAGACTGATCGGGTGACTATATCAAAAAGCTCCCATATGAGAGATTGAAAAAAAATTATCACGCCGTTGTTTTTTATCATATCAACTTTATTTCTTGCAGATGGTGGTTTCTAATTACTTTTGAATTTCGAATTAAATATTATTATCAATATCGTTTAACTATATCATATAGCTGCCATGGGAAAGATCAAAATATATACATATATATAAAATGAAAAAAAAAATTTTACCTTCGTTGTTTGTGCAGTTTTTCAATAAACCTTGAATTAAGAAAAAATTTCATAAATAGGTATCGGACATTTTTATCAGATAGCTGACATAGGAAAGATCGAAAAACCTATATAAAATTAACGGAAGACTATCATGATTTTTGGAAATTAGACTTTTTTAACGACTTTTGATTTTCGAATTAAATTTTTTCGAAATCGGACGACTATATCATATAGCTGTCATATGAAAAATAGTCAAAAATACAGATAATTATTGGAAAAATCGTCATAGCTTCGATGTTGAGCAGCCTTTATGTATTTTATTCGACATATTTTATATATAAGCTTCGAGTTGCATGTAGGGTGACCAGATAGCTGAAGTGGAAAATACGGACACTTTTCTCGCCCTATTTGCTACTGAAACCTCACAATCACAAACAATGCGATGAGCAAAATATGCAGATTTCCCATCGCTAAAACTACGAGAATAAATTTTCCTCAACTCCTCTGTAAATATACACTTGCATTTGGTTGAATTCGGCGTGGTTTTCAATCGTTTGCGATCGGGTGACTCGGACATTATGCCGTGTTAATTGTCACAAGCTTGTTGCAAGTGCAACCTGTTTTTTCGTCAAAAACGAGAAAAATACGCACTAACGGACACAGAGCTGAAAATACGGACATGTCCGTATTAATACGGACGCCTGGTCACCCTTGCATGTTGCATGAAGCTAGCTTCCTTTCTTGTTTAAGAATTTATATAAACCAATAAGCCAAAGGCTTGTATGGAGTTCTATCCCTTAAGCTGGGTGCCGATTAATGAAAATTTTATATTTGTTTTTTTTTTATGTTTTGTCTAAGTTTGTGTATATCAACATTTTATTCGAAAAAGGAAGTCCCTGCTATTACCGTGATCTCGATGGGACTACGGGCTTTACTCTTGAATTTGTTAGTGTTTAACATTTTTCTTGCAACAGAATATTGATCGATATTCTATTTGTATAACTGCCAGGACATATTTACTTCGACAAGGCAAAGATAGCTTTGTTAAAATTATTAACACGAAATGGCACACAGAATATTGTAAATATATTTGGCCTGCTACTGACACACAGACAAAATACGGAGAGTAAGAGAGCGTGGAGTCAGAGAGGGTGGGAGCTGCAACGCAAGGCACACCCAAAAATAGTCGTTATGGCGCCCCGTAAAGTATACATTTTTGATGAAAATAGCTTGCGACCTAATTTGTTTCCTATGGTTTTTTTTTTCGAAGTTTAACCAACGTGGGACACTGTCAACCCCAAAAAGCATGCTACGGCCTCAAGATGGGAAAACTAAGAAAAACAAAAACACTTCTGAAAACACACTAATTGTTTGTTGGCAAATTAGGCAAGAATGCAACGGTAGGCGGGTCTTTTAGTTGCTATTCCTGGGATAGGTCGCTATTCACCACACATATGCAGATGAAATAAATAAATTAAATTGTGACTTTACTTGGACAGACATAACGTTTGACACACAACACACTCCCGGTGGGCGCAGGCCACACTATTCTCCGTTCGCAATTTCCGAATTCCAAGAAAGTGTTTGTCGTTTTGACTTGTGGTAGATACTGGCAAGGAAGCATAACGACTTAGTGCTGCGACAGTTTATTGCAGCCTTTGCGCATGTCAGCCATAATGCCTGTATGGCGTAACGGAACAGGTCGGTGCCTGGAGCACCCTGTGACCAAAGCTTCGCCGCCGATGTAAACAAACCTAGAAGAGCAACAGGCGGCCGTCAGGGGTTATTACTACAACCTTCTTCTCTGTCCTCGCTTTAAAAAACCATTGAATCGTTGGGACTCAGAAACAATAATACGTAAGTTTTGTACATAGAAATATTGGACACATTTACTTCCACTGTATTTGGTTTGCTACCATTCAAAAGTTAATAATATTAGGGGTTTAATTATCATCTGATGCCTTTTGGTATAAATCTCCTGAAAGGTCACCAGTATATTTAAATGACGATTAAAATACAATTTGTTTAAACTTTTCGGATTTGAACTAACAAAAAGACAATTTGAACCGTTAAAAGAATTTGAGAACTTTAAACCTACAACATAGTTTACTAGCCCGATTGCCGGATACCCGTTACTCAGATATGGAGATGAAAGTCTGTATTGGCTAAGATACTTTTACACGGGCTTAGGTGCGTCTTTTGGCTTAACTTCTTGCATTGGCCTAGGTCACTGTATTGGCTTTGCTCCCTGCAGAGATTGACCTCTGCATAAATTTCAAAAAAATTAAAAAATTTTTTTTTGCATGATTCGGTAGATTACACTTTTAAAGGTTTAACATACTAAAATTTCAAATCTTTATCTCAAATAGTTTTTGAGTTAAAGCAATTTAAAGAGCTGCCGCTCTTATAACAGTGCAAACAATCATTTTATCTTTATTTATATTTTTTTTCTCGAAACATCATTTTCCGAATTTGCTGCAGTGATTACTCAAAAACTAATGATCCGATCACTATCAAATTTTTTACATGTTCTATATATAGTACTCCGTACCATGAACCATCAAAAATCGAATTTTGGCAGGTCAAAAACAACCAAAATTTTGGGTAAAGTTCGATTTTTTTTTTTAACGCCGCCACTTTGTCAACTTTTGATATTTTTATCGTAGTTCATTGTACAGACAATATTATCTAGTTTAACGAGAATTTTTTATTTTTTGATTTCATCCACGGAGAAGGCCGGAACCCTGCAGCAGTTAAGGACCTATTTTTTAGCGTCGTTGGAGATCGACTATAACTTAAAAAATATTTAATTTTTTTCTTCAAAAATTTCACTAAATATTCTTAAAACATGTATAAATATATTCTTAAAATTTTAAAATAATTGATAAAGTAGATTTTTTTAATAAAAATTCCCAAAAATCACCTTTTTTTAGGCCGTTACACTGGTTGTGCTCCTTAATTAACCATATGGTATGGAGTCGGTTGGGAATCAAACAACTTTTTTACCTGCTAGCTATCAAAAAGCTTAAAACTTATGATTTATTTGCAAATTGAGTGGAGTAACTTTAAAGCATTTGATAACAAGAAAGAAAGTTTGCAAACCGAAGCTTATATACACTTAAGTAAGAACTTAAATGTAGATGTAAACGACTAAGATTGTTTCTTGTTGTTATTTCAAACCTTACAACGCAACCGAAAAAGTGTACTTTATATTACATAGTAAGTTAAGATATAATACATAAGATTATATTAGACGCTTTTAGATTTTGGCCTTTTCCCAGTTGTTATTGTCGTGAAAATTATAAATTTCGGGCCTAATCTTTCAGCAATAAATATATTAATGACAACTACAATACGTCACCTTGGCTGACGCATACAGCCTATTATAAAGATTCGGTTAGCAATTCAGTCGTCTTATTACAAGTACATTGAACTTGGTAAACACATTACATAAACTTATTTATTTGTCTTAAATACGCCTATACGAAACCTACAGACGGACAAACGGAACCAGCTGGATGTCTGAATCGATTCAGATGATGATGATTGCTTTATTGTACCTGTAACATTCCATTATACTCTTATCTTATCTTGACGATTTCAAAAACCAACAATCCGGACACTCCCCAAAGTCAAGAATAGTGAAGTTATACAATTTGAATTTTATTTTTGTAATGTTTTACATACAAAGCTACGTTTACAGTGAGTTTTTACGGTGAGTATTGGAGATGAACCGATCTATAATGTTAAATAGCGCAGAGCTTTGTCCAGAAAACTTTGTTCCGTCGACAGTTTTCGACTGCTGTATTTGCACCGGGGCTCAGCTTGCTGCTGGTGTTCGGTGAGAGGTGTGTTTGCGAACTCCCTTTTCATAAGCATTCTGATTATGCGGGATCTCGTGGAGCGATTCTCAGACTTTGTTGCCATTTGGGAGCGCGGTCTCACGGGTGCCACCGAAACGGAGCCATAGACTCCCGATTCAGCCGAGTCTGAGTCCTGACTCCAAGGGTCGTTGCAGCTGCAGTAGGTGACGCTGCTGCCCGGCGAATGGAAGCCAGTGCCGTAGGCCTCGTCGTCGCAGGTGTAGTACTCTGGCAGACCGGGCGTGGTAGCCCTTTGGACATTGGGAGCGTCAGACACCGCATAGGGAATGCACTTTGCCTCCAGGTATAGAAGTGGCTCGTCGACGGCCTCATCAGCGCTGGGCGTCGGACTGGAGCTCCGCTGGTCGTTTAGCTCCGCCATGCGGGCCAACTGTCGCTTCTTCTCCCGCCGAAGCTGCCTTCGCTCATGGCGCTCCTTCTCTAGGCGGGCTATGGTCTCCAGGCTCTCGATAAAGATGTTCAAGTCGCACTGTCCAAAGCAGGATGCGTTCAGGGTTACTGTGGTGACCTTCGATGGAAGCTCCATCTCGTCCAGGTTCAGGAACTGGGTGCAGGTGTATGTTGCCATTTTAGACTGCTGGCTTGAATTGCTAAAGGTGTTCTTGCGGCTATGTTGGTTGCTGGGCAACTGATGCTGCTGACTGCAATCGGATCATATTTATACGCGGACAACAGGTAAATGCGGCGCTCTTTGCCTTTTTAACCCATGGATTAACCTACCATATGTCCCACAGGTAGTGGTATATGCCAGATGTCGCACAGGTAGTAAGCCAAATCCAAACGCCCGAAGTGCTCTAATTGCGTTTTAATATCTGGTTTTCCCTAATCCAAATATGCGCGAATCCTACGCATATCCTGTCCCTGTGACAAACCTATTCTACCTGTTAAAGGGCCCTCAGCAGCTTTGAAAAGGCATTTCACGAATTTATTTTTTAACATATCACTGAGGGATTCAGAATCTGTTTCAGATCTTACCTCAGGATACTCGAAAGTTCCGTACGATTTATTTGAATTTGTTATACCCTTGTAAAGGTATTATCATTTTTAGTTAGAAATTTGCGACTTAGTGAAGGGTCAGCATGACTATCTGAACTGATCTGTCTGTCTGTTTCTATATAAGCTGATTTAAATATATCTGGCTGAAACTTTACCAAGAGTAATGGAGCTTTTACAGGTTGTTGAAGGTCTGGAAAGCTAAGCTCCCATAAAAAAGATCGGAAAAATAATTGAACAATTTAAACGCCGTTGTTTTTTGATCATACATGATTTTTGGCAATAGTTTTCATTCAGAGTAAGGAAGAATTAATGGAAAAACCGTCAAGACTTCGATGTTGTACAACTTTAATGCACTCTGCTTTATATTAGTTCCAATTAATTACTATAATTGAAAGAAATGAAGCTTGCTTCGGCAGACTTACAGACATGAAATAATCTATATCTAAACAACATCGAAGCTATGGCGAGTTTTCTATTAATGTTCCATATTTTTGACTATTGTTGCTATACAGCTATATGATATAGTCGTCCAATTTTGATGACATTTAATTCGAAAATCAAGAGTCTTTAAAAAAGACGATTTTTCCATTAGTTTTTCATATTTTCGACTATTATTCATATGAAAGCTATATGATATAGTCGTCCGATTGCAATGAAATTTATTTCAAAAATCAAGAGTCTTTAAAAACTCTAAATTCAAAAAATCATGCTTTCCGATGAAAGACAACGCTGTTATAATTTAATTTCCGTCAATTCTATATAGATTTATCGATCTTTCAGATGGCAGCTATATGATATAGTTGTCTGATTTTTATTAAATTTTTCTTAATTTAAGTCACTATGTCATGTCACTATGATAAAAAGCACCGACGTTACATTTTTTTTCATTATTTATAAATATATTTTTCGATCTGTCATATGGCAGCTATATGATACAGTTAGCCGATTTGGACAAAATTTAATTCGAAATTCAAGAGATGTTTAAAAATACAATCTTTTCTTCCAGATTATATTTTTAAACATCTATTCGACTTGCCATAGGAAAGATCGACAAATCTATATAGAATTAACGGAAATATAATTATAACATGGTTGTTTTTCATCAGACAAGCATGATTTTTGGAATATAGACTTTTTAAAGACTCTTGAATTACGAATTGAATTTGAACAAAATGGGACGACTATACATATCATATAGTTGCCATATGAACAATAGTCGAAAATATGGAAAATTAATAGAAAAATTGTCATAGCTTCGATTTTGTTTAGCCCCTAAGCATTTCGTTTGACTTATTTGATGACTGCAAGGGTATATAAGCTTCGGCTTGCCGAAGCTAGCTTTCCTTTCTTGTTTTTTTTTTAGGTCTATGGTAACTGAAAGGGCAAGAATAAGCTAGCTTTATTTCTTTATTTCTTTCACGGTTCATGCTTTAAAAGCATGCTGGTGACATTTAAAAATGCGGGAAAATTAATAGTACAAATCAAACAGAATTAAATTGTATTGACGTTTACCACTTGGCAATGCGCCAACAATTACCCTTACAGAATCACCTTTTAACCAACAAAACTATTTGTGGCCTGCGGAGGGAGCGATGCGGCCTCGGTTTGATCAACGGTAAAGGGAAAGTGTCTTTTGAGGCCACTAAGTCGCTGGTAGTTTGTTGAACATTACCATTTCTTCAAAGGCCAAACCATACAAAAATTTAAGCTGCGTTTCTATAGTATGTTTTCTGAATACAAAATACAAACATTGTGTTGCTGTTTAATAATCTTTATACACAGTTCATAAGAATCCATACAACTTCGGAAAATCATTGAAATATTGATATTGCAATGGACTTCGTAAAGATTATGCCAAGAAAAGTCATAAGTCGTTTGTTGGAAATATTAGCAAAAAATTAATAATTACATTACCTAATTGGGACATTCTTTTACAAATCGTACACTTTTTTGCGTCACAATTCAGATTTATGTCAAAATTGTTTTTCAAGTGTAGGAAGCAAAATAAAAAGACACGTGCATCGGTATTTTGCTTAAAATTTTTTTTACAAAGTTATGATTTTTGACAATATCAATGGTTTTCTCCATCCTTGAACACGTCAAATTAATTATCTCTTGTTATATTAATCGTATCGTTACAATTTTTGTATTATTTAGTTAATGAATTCAGCTTTAAAAAAGTAAATTCATTTTTTAACTTAATTGTTTATATATAAGAAGTACATAGTAACAAATTAATCATTATATTGACATTTCAATGTCGATCCCCACAAATTTTAGAAATAAGCCTGTGACGGTTAATCTTCAGAAGCGCCTTTAAAACAAGTTGCTAGGAGGGGAACATCATAAATAACAAAGGTGTTAATTTATTTTTTAAAAATAAAAAAAAAAAATAAAAATTAAAAAAATTTTCCTGATTACCTGCGTTTTTATCTGGAGAATTTGTGATAAAAATTTGAAATGGATATATGCATATTTATGTTTTTTTTCGATCTCTCCTGCGGTAACTATGTATGTATGTATATGAAATAGTTATCCGAGTTTGAAAAAATTTAGTTCGAAATTCGATAGTGGTTAAAAATCACCATCTGGAAGTAGTCAAGTCTATATGATCAAAAAGAACGGCGAGAGAATTTTTTGTTTCATTCTCTCGTATGGGAGCTATCCCCTGTAGTCGCCCGATCCGACGCGTTCCGAATTATATAGAGCGCGTAACAACTTTTGGTAAAGTTTCAGCAAGATAGCCTTAAAACTAAGAGACTAGTTTGCGTAGAAACAGACAGGAAAACAGACGGAAGACGTACAGACGTATTTCGATGCTGCCCCTCTCGCCCCCCCTGGCGACGCCCTTGTACACTTTATTAACAATGTTTGTGCAAAATTTCGTGGAAAAATATTAAATAGTTTTTAAGGGGTGGCTGTTTCCCTTAGAGGCCTTTTTTTTGAAGAGCCTTGCGGTGATAATTCCCCAAGTCGAACAGGTCAACTGAGACCATAAAAGTAAAAAAATTTCATTAGTTTAGTGATCGGTTTTAAGCTAAAAATGAACTTTTTGGTCTCTAGAAATTTCACTAAAAAATTCATTTCAGCGGAAAAAAAGTTTGTGCGTGAAAAGTCGATCGTTCAAGCACAGAAAAATTTCATTACGAACATTTGAAAAAAAATTTGAAGTAAATCGGTTCAGTATTTTTCCGCCAATCCATATCACCGCAAAGTCATTTTTCAAGTAACACCATTTCGAGATATTCGCGTTTAAAGTTTCAAGTTCAGTTTCGGGCCGCGAGGAGGCGCGCGGTTAGGAGCGCTGTAACTTTTTTTCTACTGCTCGAATCTCTATGAAAATTTGGGAAAATGTTATCAAGGAGTTGTTCTTTAAGATAAAGCAATACAAAATTTTCGATTTTTGGAAAATAAAAAAGGTAACATATATAACCCCTTAAAGGCGTTGTCGCCCCTGAGTAACGCCCCCTCCCGCCCCTTTTAATTTTATCGATTTCAAAATTTTTTTCGCAAAATAAATATGTTTTCTCAAAACAATTTTTTTTAAAAAAGTGCCATTTTTCGGCCCCCAAGGTGAGAAGGGGGTTATATCCAGTTGCGAGGCCGAAAAAATGAGCGTTTTTGTAAATTATTTCTGGAGAGGCCTTTTATTGTATATATATATGTGTTATATACATATAGATAATTTTTTGTAGTTTCTGAATATATTTAAAAAAAATATTGGATTCCGTGGATCCTGTAGAGGATCTCCTGAGGGTCCACTTAAAAAAGTTGTTTTGCGGTGATGAAGATATCTCTGATCCAAGTTATAAGAAATACAAAAAACCAAAAGGATTACGTAAAGAATAGACAAACAGTGGTAGTGACGCTTGGAATTTTCAAAATTTTGATTTTAGACAAAATGGCGGCTTCCCAAACATAAAACTTCGTTTTTGGCACAAAAATTAGAAATTTTTGTCCTTATTACCTTACAAAAATATCTAAGAATAGCCTGTGAAAATTCAAAGTCAATCGGTCGAGCCGTCTCGGAGAAATTTGCTTCACCGACTTTGAAAACATAGTTTCGAGAAGAACGCATTTAAAGTTTTGGCTACTAGTTGAACTACGTCGGAGACGTCTTTAAAAATACACATATTACTCGAAAACTATTTAAGGGAATACTTTGAAATTTTCAGATAATATTCTTAAATATATATATGTAAATTCAAAAAAGGCAAAAAAAATTTTTTCAATTTTTTTTTAAATTGCAACTGGATATAACCCCTTAAGTTTTAACAGCTTTCTTTCTCATTCATAAAGATTTGTTAGAGCATTTAAATACGCGGATGAGGTAATAATGGTAACTTAATAGCGAAAAACACGGCAGTAGTTTTCTTTTTGTGATAAATTGTAACATTTCTACAGCTACAAAAGAATAACCTTTAATTCCATTATCTTAAACTAAGGGTTGAATTTTCTTCGAAACGCAAAACACATGTGTAGGTGAGACAGGGGAATAGTTTGAATACTGTAGTAAGCACCAAAAGTGGAGCAAGCACCGGGTAAGAGGTGACTTTGTAGCTTATGAGCATGTGCAAGCACTTACCAAAACATTCCTCTGGTTCTCTTTGTCCAACAGGAACTCCATACTTTTGTGGGGCCTGCAGACGGACGCAATTTGAACGCCAGCTCCGCCTGCCGAGGATTTTTCAGCCTCTCCGTCGATGTCATCCACGTCGTAGGCAGCGCTGGTGACATTCAGCCTCTTCACGATATACCGCTTGTGGGGCAGGCTAAGCGGGTTGCATGTGATGTCCATCAGGGAACGCGTTTTACCCGAAATGACCGTCTCATGAGTGTCCAGGTTGGTCTCGATCAGACCCATCGTTCCAGCCTCTTCCACAGGAGAAACGCCCACCGGCACGGCGGTTACCACGGTGGGCCTGGCTGCGAGCCCCCTTCTCTCCGGCTGACTGAGTACTTCTGTTTTTGGAGAGACGCTCGCTTGCGACGCCCGCATCCTCGTCGTTTGGCTTTGGCTACCCGCGGTTAACTGGTCGGCAAACTGCTGGTACTGTTCCCGTTCAGTTTTCAGTGGCGTCTCACTGGCATGGGCAGCACTGGTGCTAACGACCGTTCCTTGGGGCGCATGCGTCAGGCTGCCACTGCGGGGCGGCAGCTTGGGAAGCGGCGGCTTGCCTGTCACAACCTTCTGTAGAGTTGATGTTTTGGCCAGTTGCTCTGGCTGCCTGCAGTTGAACGCACTAGAGGCGCCGGCCTCAGACAATACACTATCGTCCAGTGGACTGGCCTGCAAGCTCCGCGACGGCTTCAGCGGGATGTGAACAAATTCGGGCGGTTTTCCCTTTCCCGCAGCCGGTCTGGAGTCCTTCACGTCCGATGCCATAACCAAGGGCTGATGCGGCGCTGCCTTTTGGTCCCGTTGCACCAGCTGCTGTTGTTTTTTCTTGCGTCGCAGCGAAAAGCGCAGTCCGTGGGCAAACCTGGATAGGAAGCCCCTGGAGCCCGGGTGCTTGTCGTCCGACCTGCCGATGGGCGTGGCCTGCGGCTCGGGTTCGCTGCCCGGTGACATTTCCTGATGAGCTCTCTGCTGGCACAGGATGTGATGGGCTCGGTTAGTGGGCGGATAACTGAGGATCGGCAGGTGCAGACTCAAAGGTCGTGCACTTGCAGCAGCAGGTGTCTCAATAGTCGGGCGCCTGGGCACTGCTGAGGAAAACGACGAATTCTCTAAGACGCCCGATTGAAGACTGACTGCGCTGCCAGATGCGAGTCCCTATTGTATATAAAAAGAAGCGCAAAAAATGAGTTCCAGTGCAAAGTTCGAGAAAAAACAAAAACAAATTACATTTGAATTAGCGACGGATTCAAACGGAAACGAGAAAACGAAAAATTGTTAGTGTGTAGCGCCGAGAGCAAGCAACGTTTATGCGACATACATACATATGTATGTACATATATGTATGCGCAGGGCATTCACAAAAACAAAAGAGCACTCAGAGAATTGACGTTGAGCCGCCTGCCTTGCAGATACATGAACTTTTCATTTTCTTTCTGAAACCGTTGTACTGATCTGCAACCTACCTTGGGATAACCTTATTATGTGTTCCCAAAATGGGCAGTCATCTAAGCCAGGGCTTGGACACCCGGGCTTAGCCCCACCATCGGTAGTTATCTTTGGTATCGGTTGTACAACGTCTGTTAAATTCTCTAAGAGAGCCCGAGAGAGCCGAGAAAACCACGATAATGGACTGGACGCGGATGATTTTGCACGCGATGAGACTACTTATACTTACCATACTGCTGGCAGCGCAGCCAGCTTCGGCTCTCTGATCATGGCCTTCGGGTGCTTTCTGCTCGGAATGGGCGCTGTCTTCGGCCGCGATTGTCGGTTCTCTTGCGCGAAAAGCCTGCTCTTGGTCGAAGAGCGCGGCTATGTTCTCGTTCTCTTTGGTGTTGTGCACCACAGTAGCGTCCGAGTTGTCTAGGAGTTCGTCGTCGCTGGACGGGCCCTGCTCGTCCTCGCTTGAGCGGCCCTGATCCTCCAGTGGCTCCTCGGAAGACTGCTCCTGCCAGCAGTACTTGCTCACAACCGGACAGAAGCTAACCTCCTTGCCGAACGAGTGACGCGATCCGGCGGGCAATAAAATTCCAAGGGGCTTCGGCTGCGTGGCCGTCTGCGGCAAGGTGTGCATCGAGGTGTGGGCACTGCTCACGCACATTTCGTCCTCGGGCTCTTGCCGCCCGTCGCCGCAGGCTGACAAATTGGGAGTGCTGCTGACCAGACAGCGCTTGGCGGCCGGCGATTGGAAGCGACGCTTGGGCAAATGCCTCTGGGAGTGGGAGTTGGTGGCCGGAGGGGGCCGCGGTACCGTGTTGGCCGCCTCCGGCAGGTCAAACTGGCACCGCTCCAGACTCTGGGCGTAGGACGTGCGCAGGTTGGTCGGGTCCACGTCGAAGGTCTTGCCAAAGGTGCCAAAGGACAGGATTGGTTGTTGTATGGGCTGCGGCTCCGTTTCCGAGTTCTCGGGCGAACGCTTCTGCCGAGGTGGCGGCCTAATCGTCAACTGAACGTGCTGCACCTGCGGAGGCTCCTCGAAAGCGTTCGACTCACAGTCCTCTGTCGGCGTGGACTGTTCCACAAGGAGCGGCCTGTCCGTTAGAATGGACACATTTTTGTCGTATATCTTGCTGATCTCATCCAGCAGGAAATTGCCCTTGCAGATGATCTGCTCGTAGTCGCCTCCCGCCATGCTCTCGCGGCCCGACATTTCATCTGCTTGGCTCCGCTTGTGGTTTCGGTGAAGATCGTCTGCCGCCGGGCGCTCGTCGCTGTAGTCCAGGAGCGTAAGGTTCTGGTAGCTGGCGTTCAAGTAGCCTGCGCTCGCCACACCCACTGCTCTTTTGGCGCGCTCGTTCCAGCTGTAGCTCCGCCGTATCCGTGGCAGGGCGTGGCAGTCGAGGAAGAAGTCGTCGCGCCTCTCCTCTCGCTTCAAGTCAAGGTGTTCGGTGGAACTGCTCGCGCTGCTGCTGCTGTCGCTGTCGCAGTCCCTCTTAGTGGTGCGAAGTCGACGCGGGCGACCTCGTCGTCCGAGCTGCTGCAGCTCGTTGGGGAGGGAATGGGTGGTGCCCAGGGGGGGCGAGCCGTCGCTGCTGTCGGCGGAACTTCTGTTCCGGCTACGGCGGCGGTGGCTGCTACTGCTGCTGCTGTTGGTGGCCAGAACGTAGCCGTGCTCCTCGTGTGGGGCCTCCGGGTCAACGGTTTCAGTGGAGAGTGGACCGCGCGAGTCGCGGATGTCTGGCAAACTGTTGCGCAGCCAAGTGAACGAGGCGGCGGACGATGTCGAGGCGTTCGATTCGGTCGGAGATGCCAGCGGAGTGGCCGATTCCAACTGAGAGTCGACCCTCTCCGGCGAACTATTAATAGACGGCGACGGAGAGCAGGGCGTTGCGAGCGTCTCCGCAGTCTGCTCTATTTTCGGCTGACACAAATCTTGTCCGCCATTGGAGTTGCGGGCATAGGGGGCACCCTCATCCAGCAAAAGCAGCTCCTCCTCCTCCTCGCAGAGCTTGTCGAAATTCTTTGGTATGGATTTAGACTTTTCCCGCTGCGGCGTCCTGGGCTCGCAGTACCCGGAGTCTTCCGACAAATTCTCGGCCGAGTTGAGGGGCATGCGACGGGAGGCAGTCCCGTTCTGCTTCTCCGATTCCCCCGCACCCCCGCTGCCGAGACACGAGCTCAGCTGGCTGTGACCACTGCTGGACGAGCTGGAGCTCGAACTGGAGCAGGTCTCGGAGTCGGACTTCAGCTCCGCCTGGTGCAGCCCCTCGGAAAAGAGGCTCCGCTGCTGCTGGTCCTCGAGGTTGAGCTTGTTAAGCTCGTAGTAGGTCTGGTGCAGGCGACCGTCGCTAGACTCGTACCGTCTCATTAAGGACAGCGACGAGGCAGATCCTCTCCTGCTCTCCGGATTGCTGTCACTGGTCCGGGCTGCGGCACCCAGCTCACAAGTGAAGAGTGAGGGCGAGCTGTTGCCCAGACTGCTCATAGTTTGCTGCTGCTCTTGGAGTGTCAATTGCCGCTCCAGGGACTCAAACTGCACCAGTGACGAGCTGCGGGAAAGCGAGTGGTAGGAGTCGTTGTCCGAATAGAAGTCCTCAAAGGTACCGCTGCGCCGACTGCCTGCGCTGTTTCGCACGCCCTGGCTCCCACAGCTGTCCCGGGCACAGGATTCCAGCGCCAAAAAGCGCTCCAGACTGTTGTGCGACTCGGGATCGTGCCGCAGGGGGCGGCGCAGCTGAACACTGTCCTCAAGTCTCTGGCCAGGATCCGGCTCTAAGCTACGCCTTGGGCGCTTGGGCGGACACACGAAGTCCCTCTCTGACATGACATCGACATCTGCATGGAAGAGTAAAATTAGAGGAGATTGTGTAGAAGGGACGAGGCCAGTCTCCACCAGCTTACCTTTGGATACTTCTATGCGTATCACTGAACCAGTGTCGGACTCCGCAGAGCTCCACAGGCTGGAGCGCTGCTCAAGGCAGCCACTTAAGCTGTCCTGGGCATGTTCCTCATCCTCGCTGGTCTCCTCTAAAATTGGCTCCAAAATTTGCCGCGAGCTTGATAAATAGACACCATCTGCAAGATATTGCGTTAGCTCGATATAGCTTAAGGTTCAAAGTTTACGCGGTTTCAAAAAATCTCTATATTTCAAAAAAATACGATGTTATAATTTTATTTCCGTTATTTCTATATAGATTTTTCGATCTTTCCTATGGCAGCTATATGAAAACGTTGTCGGATTATAATACAATTTTTTTCTCGTTTCAAGGGTTATCAAAAAACTTCATATTTTGATATTTCCTATGGTAGTTATATGCTAGAGTTATCCGATTTTAATAACATTTAATTTGAAATTCAAGAGTCATCAGAAAACGCCATCTGGAATTTTCCCTATTTTCGACTATTGTTCATATGGCAGCGATATAACATATTTGTCCGATTTTGTTGAAATTAAATGTGTTTTTCAAGAGTCGTTAGAAAACTGTACATTCCAAAAATCATGCTTGGCTGATGATTTCTATATATATTTTTCGATCTCTCCTATGGCAGCTATATGATAGAGTTATCCGGTTTTGATAAAATTTGATCCTAGATTCAATAGTAGTTAGGAAACGCCATATGAAAGAAATCAAGTCGATCTGATCAAAAACATCGGTGTGAGAATTTTTTATTTCATTCTCTCGTATGGGAGCTATCCGATATAGTCGGCCGATCCGGCCCGTTCAGTCTTATATACTGCGTGCAATAACTACACAACTTTTGGGAAAGTTTCAGCAAGATCGCTTCAAAACTGAAAGACTAGTTTAAAGAGAAACGGACAGACGGACAGACGGACAGACGTACAGACGTACGTCACTGCGTTGCAAACTTCTGTCTGAGTTTATAATACCCTTTGCTCTGCAAGTGTATAAAAGTTGCGTTTCTACTATTGTGTAGAAACACACAATATTGTGTTAAAACTTAAAAAAAATCTTTTTAAAAAAACCAAGTAAAAAAAGGAAGCTAGGTCCAGCGAGCGGAGTTCATAAAACGACTCGACTCATTAGAATTCTATAACGACAAGGCTTTGTCATTTGAGTATTTTTTAAGATTTTTGAATCAGAAATTTATGAAACAAAATTTGTATCACACAAGCAATGTTTCTGAAATGACAACTTTTTTAAGGACCATTAATAATAAATAGCTGACATTGAAAATTAGAAAATTATAAAATCTATGAAACCAAAAGTAACCCGGTATTTTTGATCAAACAGGTATGATTTTTGAAATATAATTTGTACGACTTTTCAATTGACAAGACGAATTCGGCTCGCCGAAGCTTATATACCTTTGCAGTCATCAAATATGTCTACTTTTATGTATGCATGTAAACAACATCGAAGCTATATCGTCGTGCGATTTTGATGAAATTTAATCCGAAATTTAAGAGTCATTCAAAAACTCTATATTCCAAAAATCGTACTTGTACGATAAAAAACATCGACGCTTAAATTTTATTTATATAGTTCATGTATATTTTACGATCTTTCTTATGGCATGATATGATATAGTTATCCGATTTTTATGAATTTTTTTCTTTACTGAAATGTAGTTAAAAAACTCGACATTCTAAAAATCCTCTTTCATCCTATTTTCATAAAATTTATTTCGATATTCATTAATATTTTAAAAACACCATTTGTTAAAAATGAATATGATCTAAAACAACGGCGTGATAATTTTTTAAAGTTTTTTTTTTCGATCTATCCTATGGGAGCTATCCGATATGGTCGCCCGATCCAGCCCATTCTGACTTACATATGCAAGCTTTTGTTAGTGAACAAAAATCTTAATGCCTAAATTTACGTTTAACGTATTTACGCTGGAGTTTCAATGATAGTTTCCTACAAAATTTATTATATGTTATTCATGTTATTCATTTTAATATTTTTATATTATAACGAATGTTGATTCGGTATTAAGTATTGTTAAGTATCTTATTGCATAATGTATATAATTTCTGACCGCTAAAGGGCCCCCATACATTGAATGGCCCTTAGATCTACAAAGATTTAAAGCTAAAGGAACATAATTTCTAGTAAATCTACTTGGAACCGAGAAATTTAGTCTACTTAAGGGGCACAACTAGTGTGAAAAATCAACAAATTTTTTTTCATATTTCGGTAGCTTACACCTTTAAAAATAACATATTAAAATTTAAAATCGATATCTCAAATAGTTATTGAGTTATAACAATTTAAAGAGCAACCGCTCTCATAACAGTGCAAACGATCAATTTATCTTTAAACGCGTTTTTCTCGAAACAGCGTTTTCCAAATTTGCTGCAGTGATAACTCAAAAACTAGTGATCCGATCACTACCAAATTTTTTTACATTTTCTTTATAAAGTTTTACGTACCATGAACTATCGGTTTTTTGATCCGATCAAAAATCGAATTTTGGCAGGCCAAAAACGACCAAAATTTTGGTTAAAATTCGACTTTTTTTTAACACGCTGCCATTTTGTCATTTTTTGATATTTTTCTTGGAGATCCGTTGGAGATCGACTCTAACTTAAAAAAATATTTAACTTTTTTCTTTAAAAATTTCACTATACATTCTTAAAACATGTATAAATATATTCTGAAAATTTGAAAAGAATTGATCAAGTAGTTTTTTTTAATAAAAATTCCCAAAAATCACCTTATTTTTAGGCCGTCACACTAGTTGTGCCCCTTAACAAGTAAGCACTGTCAATTTCACCACGTATAAGGTTATGAATAAATATAGTACCAAGCATCGTTCTACGGTTAGTAAGGGAGGGCAAGTTAATGAGGAGCAGTATATGAGAATAGGAGGGTAGGAATAGGTTTGCATTCCAGTTTAGTCGGCGTAAGGCAAAGATTAAAAAGCTTTTTGTACTGATTCTATGCGATCAGCATGTACTTCATATTGGGGACTCCATACGGGTGCCCCATACTCAAGAATTGGTCGGGCCAACGATATAAATAAAGTCTTGGTAACGTAAGAATCCTCAAATTCCTTCGACCATCGGTTAATAAATCCAAGCATTCCCCTAGCTTTATTAACCATGTTCGAAATATGAAGAGAAAATTAAAGTCAGGAGATGTTTTTCTTGTTTGACTTTCTTCTTGGGTGTAAAGTTTTCCAGTTCTGAGCAAAAAAATTAATTAAACACCACTATCAGTTTAATTTATCTTTAAACGATTCTAATAAGTACACTCCAATAATTCACGAACAAAATCACGTAAAAAACTTAAACTTTTGTTTGCTTAATGAAATAAAACTAATCCAAATCCCGCCAAAATCGGGACGTCTGGCAAAGCTGGCAGCGTCACGATCTAAATCGAAATACGTCAGTACGTATGTTTCTAGGTAAACTAGACTCACAGTTTTAAAGCAATTTTGTTGAAAATTTGCCAAAAGTTGTGTAGTTATCGGAACGAGCTGGATCGGGAGAACATATCGGATAGCTCCCATTCGGTGCCGTTGTTGTTGATCATATCGACTTTAATTCTTCCAGATGGTGTTTTTTAAATACCTTCGAATTTCGTATTAAATTTTATCAAAATATATCATATAGCTGCGATTGTAAAGATAAAAAAATATATATATAGTAGTTAACATAGTTTATCCTTATAGTTACCTTTATTTCATCCACGACTTCTTGTCCTTACCCTCGTGCAATAGGTATAATGCCTTAGTACATACATACAGTGTATCACATTAATACCTATTCGGTTTTTATTTTTCTCAATTTCAAATGCAAAGAAAAAGATTAAAAAAAGACTTTTAAAAAAAATTTTAAATGGAAAACGAAAGCTTTTTTTTATTATCTATTCATAGATATACATACAAAACAAAAATAGTAAAAATTAAAAATAAAATTAAACAAAAACAAAAAACCAACTCAAAATTCAGGTTACATTAATATTCGGTATTTCCTCATAGAACTAATAAAAAAAACTATATTTATCCCAATACTTGGTGTTATAGCCATTATTTTTAATGGTATCGCTCAAGCGTTTTGGCATATTTTGAATTATTTTTTTGGTGTAATCCCCGCAAATTTTCCCCCCTCTTCTTGTAGCCGTTTTTTTAATTTCGCTATGGATGATATCGGCGTTTGGTGTACACGGCGGTCCAACTCACTTCACAAATTCTCAATTGAGTTGAGATCAGGTGATTGGGGCGGCGTTTCCAAGACCTTTGGGCAGTGGTACAGCAACCAGGACCTCACTTTATGCGCCTTGTGCTTTGGGTCATTGTCCTGATATAACTTGAATGTATTTTCAATGCCCATTTTCTCCGCCGACTGCTTCAAATTTTCTTTTAAAATTTTTAAATATTGATATTGGTTCATTATCCCATCGAAAAACACTAATTTCCCCACTCCTTTTGTGGAAATGCAGCCCCAAACCATAACACTTCCCCCGCCGTGTTTCACTGTTGCCCTAAGGTTTTTTTTCTGCAGCTCGGTATTGGGTTTCCGCCAAACCATGGTCTTGCCATCACTCCCGAATAGATTAAATTTACTTTCGTCTAGGAATATGACGTCGTCCCACCAGCTTTGGTCCATTTTGGAGTACTCCAGGGCAAAGTTTTTCTTAGATTTCGGTTTCGCTCAGAAAGCAAAGGTTTTTTTTCTCGCGATTCTGCCGTTGTACCCTTGCTTTTTTAAGGTACGCCGAATAGTTTGCGCTGAAACTTCCTTTCCATGATCGGCAAAGAGTTCAGCCGTCAGTTGTGGAGCACTAAGTCGAGGATTTTCCTTCACTTTTCGGACTATTTCGGCTTCTTCGCGATCAGTTAGTTTTTTTGCCTGTCCTTTTTACTTTATTAAAGCCACTCGTCCTTCATTTTTGAAGCGTCGGATGATGTCACCGACAGTATTTGGCTTCATTTCAATTATTTCGGCCGTTTCCTTGTAGGTCTTGCCCTCTAGGTGGAGCTGGAGGACAAGTTTCCGCTTTTCCAAGGATGCATTTTTCCCTTTGCGGCCCATCTCGAAAATCCGTGCTCGTAGTAGCTTTTTTTTTGTTAGATCGTAGGAAATGAGTGCCAGACATATGTGTGATATTCGGGGAAACCCATTTTCGGCGGAACTTTTGGTTGTGCAGTTGCCACATTGTTTTAACATCAGTCTTACCAAAAATACCGAATATTAAAGTAATGTCATTTTCAAGCTTTTTTTTTTGTTTAGATGTGATTCTTCTTTTAATTTTTAATAAAGTCCAAACATATACATATGTATTATATCTATGTAAAGGTAATATTACAAACTTTAATATTAAATACCATTTTTCAAATTTTGACTTTTTTTAGTATTATACATTTTATTCGCGTTTAAAGTTGCAAAAAAAAAACCTAATATTAATGTGATACACTGTATGTATGTATGTATATAAAATTAGCGTTTCACCTACGACTGAAAGTCCGAAAGCTCGGCTCTTTGTTGCTCTCACCTTGTTGTTCAAATATGCCTAGACTGTTCCAATTTGGGGTTGTGTGGCCCAGATATCCCGCAAGATCCAGATGCTCCATTCTTATTCTTTCCGATCCGTCTCTTACAAAAGTCAACAGTTGCAGTTGGCAAGATTTAAAGGGTTTATATATTTCTATTGGTTTGATCTTGCTTTGCTTAGTTCCAGAAATCACATTGGTGTGTTAAGGGTTTTCTTTTTTTTTGCATATTATGTCTTAATTTTATCTTTAGTTTCCTCTCGTTTTGCTTAGATCCCTTTAGTTTCGTATATGCATACTTCCACCATTTCATTTTAAAGCAGTATTTATTTAGATGAAAAGCATATCTACAAAAAAAAAAAAAATGAAACTCATTAAAAAATAAAATAAAACATCAAATTTCAAGTATGTATATTTTTAAATTTTTTTATAAGAGTCTCACTTATGAAACCCAAGCCAAATTAGTCTATACGAGTCTTTAAAGACTTTATAAAAATTAAAGGTCTGATCATACACATAGCGGCCAAGGGAGCTATGTATATATGTATAGAAACATTGTTTCAATAGTTTTAATAAAATATAAAATAAAAACAAAAAGTTTTAATTAATAAAACATGTTGGAAAAACTCTTGTTGAAGACTTTAATTTTACTGCAATTTTATTTTTTACGTTTATGCTCTCTCTCAGGAATAAGGTGTACTGTATAGTCTTCTTTAATTATGTTGACTTTTCCTTAAGTTTTTAAATTTTTCCTTTGGCAAGGTATATGCAGGAGGAAGGTTTACCGACATTGACTTTTTCACGATTTTTTTCAGAATTAAGCACAATACATAGACCCATGAAGCTTAAAATACATTCCCACTATTATTTAAAGCAGCGCATATGAAGTCATTTAGCCTTTACTTTACTATGTTTTTGCCAGTTATGTCGATTTTTTTCCAGGTGCACACATGACAAATAAAACACAATCTTGGAAAACTTGTCTTATCTTATCTTTTCGTGTAAACAAATTCTTGTCTTTCTGAACAACGAATTTTTGTCTGCACCTTTTTTACCCTTGCAGAGCCAAGGGTATTAAAATTTCAGTCAGAAGTTTGCAACGCAGTGAAGGAGACACCTCAGACCCCATAAAGTATATATTCTTGATCAACATCCCGATCAGAATAGAAATACGCCTGTACGTCTGTCAGTCTGTCCGTTTCTATATAAACTGGTCTCTCAGTTTTGAAGCTATTTTGCTGAAACTTTCCCAAAAGTTGTGAAGTTAGTTTGTAAGGGTATATAAGCATCGGCTTGCTACCTATCTTGTTAAGCATATCCCATGGCAGAACTCGCTTCTTATCACTGGAGGAAAATTCGCTCATCGTTATTTCATTCGTTTTCACTTTAAACAATTGAAGTATAATTTAACAGATCATTTCTTAACGTCGGCTTTTTTTTAAATAAAGTGATTTTGTATAAATACTACCAAATAAAACACAAAATATTTAAAAAAAACAAGACAGGTCGCGCGACCTTTAACGCAAATGGGCAATTTTCAGACGAAAACGATATCATTTTTTATTATTCTGCTTTATAAAACAAAACAAAAAACTGGTGCCTTCAGATCCACCAACCGCCGACCGTAACGTCTGAGGTGTTATCGAGTACTAGCAAATAAAACTCACTCTCTAAAGACACCACCACCATCGAAAACGACTGCCAAATTGACATGTTTTTATTAAGAACTTAAGATTTTGGAGTTACGGAGCCAGCATAAAATACCTGAAAATAGCGACAATAAATAATTTTAAAAACGATTCGAAAATCGGACATTATCAGTGCCAAATTCGATAACTCAATTGAAATTCGAGTCTGGTCGGCCAAGTTACCATAAACAACGAAATTATTTAGGGCGCAAATGTTTTGGAAAGTGATAAGTCTTATCTCTTACATTAGTATTGCTTCGTATGACTGTCTCTCAGGCTCACATTTGCTTAAAATAATGCATTCTTAAGTGGCGAGTAAGCGATTGTGATAATGGCCTTTTGAAATTTTGTTTCTATGTTTTACTTCCATAGCTGTAGTGTATTAATGCTTGTTATATTGCTCTGCCAACCGTGTGTTTTATTTGTTTTCGGCGGTTATTCTTGCAAGTCAAAGCAGAACAAAATCTAACAGGCAGTTTTTGTGCGAAAACGTACGTTTTCGTTTTAGGTGCTCCGGTTTTCACAAACTTTTCGTCATCGTTTCGTTATCGGAATGGTTCATTTTTTCATCTGGCTTGTCTTTCATAAAACCCAGCATGATTTCATCCTGGAGCGTTGACTTATCCTTCTCCCTGAAAACAATAGCTTTGCATTTAGTTTTAAATACATAAATTATGTTGTCTTACTTACATTTTCAAAAGTTCAAATAAGCCTCCATCAAAAATCAGCTGTTTCCCACAATAGGGGGCTGACACCTTTTTTGCAGTTTTCATTTCACTATTAACAACTTTTTTACTGCACTTTTACGACTTAAGAAAGGAAATTAATCATATTTATTTATAAAAAGCTTATTTAACTTTTCTTAACAAATATTCTTTTCTACGTTTCATTTATAAGTATTTTTAATTGGTTGTTTTGTTCCACTACAAGTACGGCAGCATTGACGATAACTTTTGGCAATAGATTTATCGACCCCTTAGCAAAACGAAAGTTGTTGTTCCCGACGGCAAATATTTTATTTATGAAATCAAGATGGGGTCAGAAAAGAATTATTTAAAAAGTAAATACGAATTAGATTGATCTACTGATGATGTGAAATGAACATCAATACACCAAGGAGTCAACTATTTTTTTCCTTTTGCAATTAAGAACCGATTTGATGTAGAAAAAGGCATTACTTTTCATTTCGACAAAAAAAAATTGTCCGTTTTTAAAACAAAAAAGTCTTGTGAAAGTGAAAACGGGAGCACCAATTCTCATTTTCGAAAACGAGAGAATCTTGTGAAAGTGAAAACCAGAGCCTACAGGCAAAGCCACTTATTATCAGAAAGAATAAGAGTTGCATCTGCACCAAATCCCAAGTGAACCATTTTAGCTAAGCATCAACATCATTCACTAGTGTGTACATATGTAGCAATTTCTTTACCATGATCTCTACGCAGTTCCGTAAAATATACAAACTTAACATTAAAGAATATGTGAGCCCAGTTGTGTCCAATGTTATTGTATAAACTTCGCTTCGCATGAACGCTCCGCATCATTTTCTTCGCATCAAATTTTTGATGTGTAAAGACGGGATAATGCAAATATCTTTTGAAACATATACATATCTGTCCTAAAGTCAAATATTCCTTTTACTGTTAATAAAGAAAAGAGCACATTTATCTAGATATCACTTAAACATTTTCACCAACGAACCATTAATAAAACAAGAAAGGAAGCTAGCTTCGACAAGCCGAAGCCTATATACCCTTGCAGACATCAAATATGTCGAACAAACTACATTAAGATTAAACAACATCGAAGCTATGATTTTTTACTATTATTGTTCCATATTTTCGACTATTTTTCATATGGCAGCTATGTATATGATACAATTGTCCGATTTTGATGAAATTTAATTCGTAATTCAAGAGTCGTTAGAGAACTCTATCAGGCAAGAAAGGAAGCTAGCTTCGGCAAGCCGAAGCTTATATACCCTTGCAGTCATCAAATATGTCGAACAAAATGCAAAGGTTAAGAAGGGGGTAAGGTTTAAAAATTTTTTTTTACATTTTTTTTTTTTTTTTTTTTCTGAATGACCAATAGGTCGAGAACATTGTGTAAAATTTTTTAGTCAATTAAAGTCAAACTAACGGAGTTACAGCGTTTTAAACAACCGTATTTGGACGTATTTTCACGTAAAAAAAATACTTTGTATCGATTTAGCCGAAGGCGTTATTTTGAAAGTCAGCGAACAGCAGAACTCAAAATCTACTGAACCGATCCTTTTCAAATTTTTAACACAAATTCTCAATATAAATACGCAGGTAATCAGGAAGAGTTTTTTTTAAATTTTAAATTTGTTCTATTTTTAAAAAAATTAAGCTAAAATCGCACTTTTCACTTTCAAGTGCTCCCAAAAATAGACAAAAAATAAATTTTAAAAAACTCTTCCTGATTACCTCGAGAAATTCATTATCTTTACAACGCATATCACATTTTATTTTTAAGATGATCCGTTAACGCCCTATAATGTTCACCGCAAAACAACTTAATATTTCTTAATATTTTTTAATAATTTTTTTTTCTAATACTCTTCAAAAGTTAAACAATAACATGTAATTAAGCTCAATAAAAAAAACTTACTCATTTCGCAGCAAAAAAAAAATCAAACATAGCCCTTGGCCTTTAAAATCTTACAGCGATGTTATACATTTATTTCCATTAATTCTGTATATATTTTTCGATCTCTCCTATGGCAGCTATATAATAGAGTTATCCGATTTTGATCAAATTTAATCCGAAATTCAATAACAGTTTCAAATCATCAAATCATCAAATGATCAAAAACAACGGCGTGAGAATTTTTTATTTCATTCTCTCGTATGGGAGCTATCCGATATAGTCGGCCGATCCGGCCCGTTCCGACTTATATACTGCGTGCAATAACTACACACATTTAGGGAAAGTTTTAGCAAGATAGCTTTAAAACTGAGAGACTAGTTTGAAGAGAAACAGATAGACGGACAGACGGCCAGACGGACAGACGTACAGACGTATTCTGATTCTACTCGGGATCTGAGGTGTCTCCTTCACTGCGTTGCAAACTTCTGACTGAAATTATAATACCCTCTTGCTCTGCAAGGGCATAAAAATAGTGCAAATGTTGATTGCGGGTAACGCTTGTTAATAAGGCATTCGTTCGTTTCTTTCTCACAACTTAAAACAAAGTTTAATAAACTTTCGTGTGAAATGCTGAATATCCAAACAAAAGCTGTTTGTTTGTAACTATAGTTGATGCACACTCCAATTGTCAGGTAGACTTTCACTTTTCACTAACAGAAAAGTAGACGAATGAAACCACGAAAGATTAGTTAGAATTTGAACGATAAGCAAGAAAAGAAGCTAGCTAAGGCAAACCGAAGCCTATATAACAAAATGGATAAAGGCTAAATAACATCGAAGCTATGACGAATTTTCTATTAACATTCCATATTTTCGACTATTGTTCATATGACAGCTATATGGTATAGTTGTCCGATTCTAACGAAATTTAATTGAAAATTTAAGAGTCGTTAGAAAACTCTATATTCCAAAAACCATTATCTGATATAAAACAACGATGCAATCATTTTATTTCCATTAATTCTTTATAGAATTTTCGATCTCTCCTATGA